TGACAAATAGTAGTAAGTGGTGGCACTAGGTTAGGAAAGGGGACGATACATACAGGGACCCAACAAAGGTCAAATAAGAATGCCAGGTCATGGACAAGGCCAGTGGCACCATATGGAACAAAAAGGGATTTCCACTCTGCAAGGTAATTTAAAAAAAGAGACAAACAGAAAAAGGAAAGTTCTTGGAATTATTATACATTTGTGAGATCAAGTGGAGCATTCACAGAATACTTTCTTTTTTCTTAAGTACTTTTTTCCCTTGGCAGTGAGACTGTCTCAGTCTCTGATTAATGCTTGGGTGATGCTGCACATTTGAGCAGCTTATTTTTCTGACAAAACCGTGCAAGGACCACACCACTGTGTTGTAGGGGCCCAGAACCACACAGGCTAAGTGCAGCATCCTGAGTGGGGTTTGACTCTTCAAAAGGAGGATGACTCAAAGCACAGGTGACAACCATCCCTCCAGAAGCCAAACCATGAGCAGTGACAATTCCCATGCACAGATGTTCCGCAGGAAAAAGCTGTTCAGACCTCTAAAAGTAGAGAGAATTAAGAGGGGAACATTGAGCTCAGAAGGTCATGGTCATAGTTCATTTATTTTTCAAGGAGGCAATTTAACTTCCCACAAGGCTCTAGCAAGAGTCACACTGTAGCAGTCTTAGTTTGACAAATGCAGAATAAGCAAGAATAGAAAGGATATTGGAAAAAATATAACAAAATCTAGATGCTGGGTTTGTTTTATCTGTGGAGACTTGAAATACCACTTAAATTCCCTGTACCTCAGTCTCCTCATTTAACTGAAGGATGATAAAATCTATCTTCACAAGATTCTTCATATCAAATGGGGAAAAATGTCTATAGGAATGCTTTGCCAGCTTTAAATCATCTCACAATTAAAAGATGACATTATTGTTCATCATGACAATAGGTTCACTCCAAGAAGATTTACTTTAGTGAGTGTTCCAGAGGTTTTCAAGAGATGTAGTTGCTATTTGCATTCACAGTGCACCCAAAGGCTTAAAACCTCTTTTATTCTGCAGCAATTAGAGTATCTCTACGTTTTCCATTGTATTTGTCACATTAAATTTATTGGTCTTGGACTATAACTATTTCTTTTACTTTTTATTTTATTTTTCAGCCCCTGAAGTAGACTATGAGCTCCTTATAAAACTACTTTTTGTATCTCTGTAAGCATCAACATAGTACTTAGAAGATAGGACCTTTTTTCTTTTTTCCATTTTATTTATTTATTTATTTTAGAAGATAGGATCTTGATAAACACTTGCTGAATTAATGCACCAGTGAATGAAGAACTTCTCTGGAAAGCCAACATAGACATTATCTCAAGTCATTTTGAGGTTCACTTACAGGATGATTTTCAAAAAATTCCATAGGAATCAGGAAATAGGCTAGAGCAGTAAGGGAAGTCAATTTCGCCAGGGGGCTTCTGTAGTTATTATTGTTCTTAACTGCCAGTTGTCTTGCCCTAAGTTTATGGTAGTTCTTTATCATTCCACCGACTTGAGCCCTAAATTTATGGTAGGTCTGTATCATTCCACCCACTTGAGCCCACCTACTACTGCATGATTTGCTCTGACCAATTAAATACAAGCAGAAGTGACTGGTACCAGACCCAGGCAGAAGCTTTCTTTAGGGATGCTCATTCTTTCTCCTCTGAGACCAGCATTGTTACAGACAGAAGCTGCTGTGTCAGCTCAGTTACTGGGTGGCATGATACAAAGTTGAGCTAAATCTTGTACACAATGAATAAACCAGACCAGGGGAGAAAGACACCCATGTTGTCATGAGCCACTAAGTCATTGACAACGATGTCCTCCTCTTCCTCCTCTTCCTCCTCCTCCTCC